TTATTTCGAAATAAAAGATTATTATATACAGCAAATTTTTCAAGATTTTACTGATTCCAATTTAAAGCTTTTGCTTGCACTGTTAACAAAATATGACACTTATAACAGAAAAAAATGCTACTGCATCAAGGCAATAAATTCACGTATTACTTATTAATATTTCTTGAAGAAACAACTGAGGATACTCATATAATAAATCATATTACGTATAATACTTATTCTATTGTAGGATGAAAGCAGTCAAATGTTACAAGATAGATTCTTTTGTAAAAATACAACATTGTTTCCTAAGTTTGTTTAAAAAAATTAGTTTACATTCAGTTGACTTAGGTATTCCTTTATTACTTTTACTTTTCACATGCATATAATCTATTAATTGATTACTCTTTTATTTTAAAAGAAGATATAAGCTGCAGCAATTATTCAAGTTTTTTAATAATTGAATTTTAAGTTTTAGCTTAGTCTGTTAAAAACTTAGGAGAGTGTTGAACAGTATCGTTCAGCTTTAATGCAACTCTTAAACGCTGCTAGATTAAACCACATTATCGAGTAAATCGATTCTTATTAAGCCTAACTAAACCATAGCTTATTTTCTTATGTCAATTAACACATATTACCAATGTTAATTAACTATTGGTATCAATATAGCGAATAATATCCCCAAAGAGAATGAGTATCTTTTCTCCATCAACTTCGCTTATTAGTGGATAGGTTATTTTTTTTTATTTCTATTAATACATTTCATCGGAGCCATTGTGGCTGAGAGGAGCCATTGTGGCACTCACCTCCCAATGAGGTGACATGGGTTCGAATCCAATCAACGACTGGTCCATTTGAATTTTGTACCCGGTTAGCACCGACCACAGTGCTGACGTAAAATATCCTCAGTGGTAGACGGATCATGGGTAAAATTCCCCTTGCCGTGAGACTGAGGCTTTCATGGTTTTCCTCTCCATGCAAAAGTGAGTAAGTTCCATCGAAAAATCGTCCACGAGGACAATTTTCTCCCATTACTTGATCCGAAAATTCTCTTGTCTTCTGAATTGGGTTCAAAATCAAAAGGCTACGAAGTTGAACAGTGCTAGTCGTAAACTCAGAATTGGGTTCAACACAGGCGATAAAATTAAATATAACAGAGGTTACACTTGAATGAAATCATGGTTCAATTTAACTATTAAGGTTGCAGCTTATATGCACGATACTACCTTTAATAGTTATGTTAAACCAAGGGTTTAATCAAACTTTTTTTGCGAATGGGAAAAAAAATTTAGAACCGAAAATTACACCTTATACAACAGTTTATGATATCAAATAAAACAATTTTCAAAAATGAAACACTTTCTTCAGAAATAATTGTTATTGTTGCAAAGCAACAAATTAAAGATTCAACAAAGAAAAAAATATCCCATTATGATAAACACCTTCTGCACTTATCTATCATGTAATGCTTATATTTGTCCTTAGTAAACGAAACTTATTTTTATTAACAATACCCTCACACTAACATAAGGATAACAACTTATATTTACTCCAAAATATAAAAACGATGACTTCGAAATGTAATTGCATCAACACTTAACTATACCTGGCTACTATCTTGTTACTTGAGTTATTTGAGCAAGTGTGATTCAGGAATGCGGTTTCCATGGTAACAAAGGGAAAAGTTCGCCGTCATAACGAAGCTGAATAAGGAAGANGCTTATATGCACGATACTACCTTTAATAGTTATGTTAAACCAAGGGTTAAATCAAACTTTTTTTGCGAATGGGAAAAAAATTTAGAGCCGAAAATTACACCTTATACAACAGTTTATGATATCAAATAAGACAATTTTCAAAAATGAAACACTTTCTTCAGAAATAATTGTTATTGTTGCAAAGCAACAAATTAAAGATTCGACAAAGAAAAAAATATCCCATTATGATAAACACCTTCTGCACTTATCTATCATGTAATGCTTATATTTGCCCTTAGTAAACGAAACTTATTTTTATTAACAATACCCTCACACTAACATAAGGATAACAACTTATATTTACTCCAAAATATAAAAACGATGACTTCGAAATGTAATTGCATCAACACTTAACTATACCTGGCTACTATCTTGTTACTTGAGTTATTTGAGCAAGTGTGATTCAGGAATGCGGTTTCCATGGTAACAAAGGGAAAAGTTCGCCGTCATAACGAAGCTGAATAAGGAAGAAAAAAAAATGCTGGATGGATGCCTTTTCTCAATGAAAGATCAGGGGCGATGAAAAATGATGTTTACCGGAACATTCAAATATATTTGGAGGAGTTGAATATGGAAAAATATATGAAAAGACGGTTTTTAGTGAAGAGGAATTTTCAGTTGATCTTTTGACTCGCATCTATTCAGGTGCATTTACGAATGCGAATAAAAAAAATAATATTTTCCCGAACCTCTATTTGAACTAAGTGAATGCTTAATAAATATTTTAAAAAATGAATGCAGACCTTTAGTTATGTATAGATCAGGTGTTTTGTGCGTGTTTAACGTCAGTGTGAAAGCGGGGTGTTTTGGGGGAGGGCGGAAACACTTCTGTCAAAACTCATATCAGACGCCACATACAAAATACTACTTACATTCACGTTTTTCAATTTTTTATTTTGATTTTATGTATATGTTTTAATTGTAGGGTCAAGTGGAGACGTTCGGTTGTAAAAACGACTTCTTTGATTTTCTTGGTTTGTAATTATAGAAAATTGCTGGAGATGTTGAATAAGTCGAAATGATGTTCATAAAAGATTCGTTTTAGTGAAGAGGAATTCTGAATTGGTATTTTGGCTCGTATATATCTAGATGCACTTTCACCGAAATTCCGTTTTAACTTTTTAAACCAAATGAACGTTCATTAATGCACAACGTGTGATGGGTGGAATTTTGTGATTGTTTCGCTTTCTTTGTAATTAATTACCAGATTTCTTGTAGATCCAAGAAAGTGGTTCTGTTATGTAACAAGATATGTTTGATTGCATATGTGAGAGGAATAAACACGCTTCGAAACCTGTGTTTATTTAGATTGACAAGAGAGTAAATTAAAAGCTCGGTAAACAATTAACTTTGCTCTATCACAAAAGGAAAATATCACACGTTGTGGATTTAATCACACATAAGTAAATATGTGCGATAAAATAAAATGTAATAAAATTTACAGAAATGTGTTTTTGTTTATTACACATAAATCGAACACTTATTTTGCTGTAAATTCACTGTTACTAAATTTACTTGTCCCGCAGTCGACTGATTGTAAAGACACGGTTCCCAGTAGAACACCGAAGTCGAGCATCACTGGCTGCGGTCAGAAAGCGGGAGGGTGACCACTTTGATCAGCCTGCTTAAGGATCGAGGGTGCGTGGTATCGGTCCTCGATAAACTGTTCTACCATAAAGTGCTCGACTTCGCACTGGTCACCGGGCTATCAAAACAGGGTAGCTATACCTTCAGCAGAAGATCAAAATTGCGAGGGCATGTCTTTGGATCATCCTCAGGGATGCTTCCCAGACCATCGCCAATAGCCTATTGTGCAGCTCAAGTGTGACGTAAATAAACTACCTACCTAAGTACTAAATTGACTTATTATTAGAAAGTTACTGTATTCTTTACTGTAACTGTATTTCTTACTGTTGTGATGTACTCGACATACTAGATTCAAATACCAAAGTAACACGAACCTTTCAACTTTTATGTACTGCGAGGCCTGAAGTGAAACTAAATCGATGAAACGTATAGATACCATTGCAAAGCTTGCTCTTTCTCTTTCGGTGCTTTGTTTTGCACTTTTTTATGTCCTACGCATTTGATTATGTCCTGGGTGCGTTTGATTTTATAGTTGAAATATTATTAAAGTTAAGTTGAAATTTTGCACTTCTCCTTTTTCATCTTTGACCGTTGATCGATTTAAAATGTTGGATAATACTACTAGTGTATTTAACCAGTAGTTGGCAACTATTTTTTTGTAATATATTGGTGGTACTGTAGAAATAATTGCGTTTTTCATTTGCCACTCAATGTGAAAGAAATATAAAAGACAACCTATTGCATTAACTGAAGAACTACTAAAAGTAGGAAAAAAACAAAATTGCCAAAAAATAGAAATATTATACATTCATTTAACACGAGTATGAAAAGTTTTATTTAATTTAGTAACCGAGCTAATCTAAGTCTAACAATATTGCAGTTATGTTTCATTTACACTCATTAGTGGCTATATTTAAGACTACTATTACTTAATACTATGAAGTATGAAAACATATTTAAGCTCAAAATATTTCAAAATTATTAATACTAACTTTTTCAATATTTTATACACACTAACTAATAAAAAAAAACTCGAAAGTATACATTTTCCTTTCTTATGTTTGTTGAATAATGTATACTTATTATGAAAAATGCAGTAGAATTTTTGATCAAACTGTATATCCTAATATAATTGCTTAAAACTTTTGGTGAAATTTTAAAATAATATTTTTCCCAAAATTAACAGGTATAAAATTTAATTTCAGGAAATTACTTGGATGTAGTCATAAATAAATAAAGAATATTTGGTGTTATTAAAAAGTGTAATAATAACAAATGAAAAATTTCAGCAGTATTCTATCCTTACCATCTGCAAACCATTAACTCATCCTAATTTTGCATTGTTTAAAAAATAACAGTCCCTCCCGCAATGAACTGATTGTAAAGACGCGGTTACCAGTAGAACACTGAAGTCAAGCGTCACTGGCTGCGGTAAGTAAGACCTCTTTGAATCGCCTGCGTATTGACCGAGATTGCCAGATCATCGGCAATAGCCCATTGTGCAGCTCTAGTGTGATGTAAATAAAGTACCTACCTAACTACTTCAAATATAACATGCAGAAATGATTCAAGTCTGATTTTTAAGTTCTTTTGTATAACGGTTTTTTGCAGACTTTTTAAATCATATTGTTGCTCACACTATTCCATAGATAAATGTATTTTTTATTTTTTTTTCAGGTAACAACGCTAATGGAATGAATTCATTGTCTGGAATACCCCGTCTCGGAAGTATTTCAAACCCAGGTGCAGCATTTGGTGTAGCCGGAGCTGTAATGTCCGGCCTTCCCTCACTTGCTTCAGCAGCAAACCCCACATTATGCTTGGCCAGCACTTCACCCTCACTTCAGTCACGTTCTTCGCTGACTCCAAACTCAGAAGCAACTTCTCAGCTAGCACAACAGCCACAAACTTTCTTCGGCAATGAAGAAATGCCACGGGTTCGATTCTCATCGGCAGCAGACCTGCTTCAACCACCTCCATGCTCTTCCAAACCGCCCAGTAGGAGATCGTCCGCCCTTTCACCCGCCATCCACGTCACAACGCCTGTCGACGGAGTACTGACGTCACTCTAACGTCACGTTTCAAGCTTTAATGAGCACCGTGCCTAAATAACCCAGAGTAGAAAAAGTGGACTCAGATGAAAGTGTAGAATTTCGCAAGTCCACATACTGGATATTTTCTGACTTAACTATTCGTGAGGTCGATGGTCGTAGTTTAAGCTCACTGCTTTGATATTCAGACTATTAGTGACTTTGACTGTAGGCAAAGAGGTTCATAGAAGATATATTTGCATCTAGCAACTTATTGCGTCATCAAGAATTATTAGCGGCAGAACTATAATTCACTACATAAACTTTAAGCCCCAATACATACAAAACAGCTTATTCTCTCTTTTTTTTAAAAAAACAAATTTATGATTAGAAAAATTGTATCAAAATAATAGCATTTGTCAAGATACATCATATTTTTCAGAGTTAAATAAAATGGTAAAAACATTTATTTGAAGTGAAGTCTGATATTTGCTACTATCATTAATATTCACACGAAATAACAACTTATTTCGCCATCAAAGATGCAAAAGTCGCAAAAATGTATAGTTTATCTAAATAAATTATAAGCCGAATGACTAAAAAACCGTATTCCTTTTTTTATTTTTAAAGTAAAAATATGATTAGCCTATTTGTATCAAAGAAATAGCATTTGTTGAAATACATCATGCTTTTCAGAAGTGAATTAAATTGTGCAATTTTATTAAAATAAATGCTCGTAAGCATAACATAAAACCGTAAATGAGGTGACCTCGTGATTTTTTCAGGACATTATTTTAATATCTTTTTTAGGATGCAACTTGTCGTTCTGAATATTTTATTTAAAAAAATCTGCTTAACTCTTTTTTTAATATAGATTTAAAGAATTTTTTATAAAAAAATTAACTATTTTATTCTTCTACGTAAGGTGAGATAACTTTGGGACATTTGATTACTTGTCTTCAAATCGACAAAAAATGTCTTTATGTTAGAATTATTTTGGGGAAAGACAAAAAAAGTAATACATTTACTGTTGTAATTATGAATTGTTTTATTATATTATTATTAATCATAATTTTATCATAATGATTACGCTGGATGACAAAGTTTTTGTTGTATTTATACGGATACTTAATCGGTATATCGGCCTAATTTAGGGGTGTGGGGTTTTCAAATGTAAAAATATTTTTACTCCTAAAGATACACATTTTATTAAAGGACATATTTAGTCTATTTTTTGACAAATTGTTGTCGAAGTGTATATGTTTAAAAGCTTTATACATAACAAAGGGTAGCAAGTTTCAATGCAAGAGTCTAGAAAACTATGGGAGTTAGAGGGTAAAATTTGTATAGGAATTTAAGCACATCGTCTGGATTAAAATCGCATGTGAATCCATGACAAGGAGCACTCCCTTATTATAACCTGCTCAGATGCAGACGAAGAAACATCTCTAATATGGGTTCCATGCAATTTTAATCCTTATGATGTGCCCTAACTCCCCTAGTTGTTCGTCACAATATTTATGTGACCTCCTGTTATACATAACATCCTTGAACTTGTACAATTCGACAACAAAATATATTAAAAATGTCATTTGAAAAAAACTGTAGCTTGGAGAGGGACACCGATTGCAGATTTGAAATCAGATTTGACGTGAAAATATCCAAGAAACATTAAAAAATCTAGTGAATTAGAAACAAACAAAGCATTGTTCCCCAGTTTTATTAATTATTATCTAGATATCAATTTACTTTATTGATAATTATGCCGTAAATATGTAGTACACACCAAGTAAGTCTTGATAAAGTTCCGCTGGAAATTAAATTGCGAGGCGCATCCAGAAAGTAAGTTTCCCTAATTTATAAAAAAAAAGAACTCACGCTTTCAGGAATATATTTATTGGCAACAAGCACAGCAATGTTTGAGCTATTTTTCAACATAGCAACCACCAGAACTGAGACACTTGTCGTATCGTGGGATAAACTTTTGTATCCCTCTGTCATAGAACTCTGCCACCTGTGAATGGAACCAGCGTGTCACAGACGTCTTCAGCTCTTCGTCGTTGCCAAAACGTTCACTGGAGAACAGGAATTTCTTGAGGTTCAAGAAAACTTGAAAATCGCTGGGAGCAATATCAGGGCTGTAGAGTGGATGATCAAGCAACTCTCAGCCAAATTCCGTCAAAACAGCTGCTGTGCGTCGTGCCGTATGTGGACTAGCATTGTCATGGTGGAGTGCAACACCTACAGTAAGCATTCCACTACTCTTGTTTTTAGTTGTACGTCACAATTTCCGCAGTGTTTCACAGTGACGGTAGATGTCTGTCACACGCTGGTTTCATTCACACGCGGCAGAGTTCTATGACAGAGGGATACAAAAGTTGATCCCACGACACGACAAGTGTTTCATTTCTGGTGGTGGCTATATTGAAAAATAGCTGACACACTGCCGTACTTGTTGCCGATAAATATATTCCTGAAAGTGTGAGTTCTTTTTTTTTATAGATTAGGGAAACTTACTTTCTGGATGCGCCTCGTACAATTTTATCTCCGATCACAATTAAATTACAATTTTTGCTAATCAGCCACGTATCAGTTGCAAAAATATTAACACCATTGCAACAGAATATTTTTCTTAAGGTTTACAAAATATTTTTGAAATGCTGTCATTATTTTTTTTATTACTGTAACTCAATTAACTCTAAAAACTTAATTACCACAAAAAAACCACCTCTCTTTTACTCACTCTCTTTTAAAGTTTTTATTTAAATATGCCCTCTATACATTATATTTAAATTCATTATATCATCATGAAATATTAGTAATAATTCATTCATTCATATAAAATGTAAGTTGCAAAACGTGTAAGACAAGCTTTTTTATGAGGAAAAAAACTCATGTCAAAAGAAATCTTTCATTAAAATAATAGTGTTCGCAAAATGCATAGTATTTTTCAGAATAAAATAATAGTTTCATTTTCTTCTAATTTTATGCGGAAAAAATTTTACCGAACATAATGACATATAACACATAATTTAATAACTTAAATGCATCAGTAATAGTGCTATATGCATAAATGGACATAAAATTTTTATGGTAATTTTAATCTATTATAATGCTAGATAAAGCATTAAAATGCACGACAGCATTTACTTTGAAACAAAAGCAGTCACATTAGATATACTCACAGAGAAGTTTGTCCCATGAAACATTTATGAAACTTTGTTTTATAATAACGATGTACTCAAGAGATATGATAATTTCATTGCCCACTCTTTCATTCGATCCATTTACTGGTAATTTTAGTAAATGCTCTAAAATATCTTTCTGTTCTGTTCGGAATTTTGCCTGCTAAGTATATCTATTTAAAGATGTGTATTTTCATTTGTGGCAGGTCGGAAATAAAACTGATGGAAAAAAGTCCTTATTTACATTTTCCTGGCAAAAAGATAAAAGCGTTTTATATTTACTTTATTTATTTTTATTCATATGATGTTTTTTATTGTTTCTAATTTACAAACTATCAAAACAAAGTGTAAGTAAATTTTGGTCGTTCTAAAAGTCAAGTACATTGCTAGGAATTTATTATAAAAAATGTTTAAATAGCAATTTACTTAATTGTTATTTTACCATATTCAAACAAAAATGTCAAATGACCATAAATAAGACGGTATTCAAACTATTAACTGTGAGAAAACCCATTTATTAACTGCTTTTTCCGTCTACTGTTAAGCAACCAGAATTTATAGCAATAAAGAGACCTACCTTACGAAACCACTTAGTTCCTTGTAGATAGGTACATATCATAACTAATCGACTAATCTCATGACCAATAGAACCGGAATTCGAGTCCCAGTTACAATATTCCCTTCCTTCCCTTCCACACATGAAGAGTTTCAAGTGTCCTGCACTTCCAATTTGTGACTCTGGACTGTTAGAATACTATACTCATTTCCATGCATAGATGGTAGCACCATAAAGCTACTTTACTACCTCCATTGTTCAGTTAAATTTCTCTTTTGCCGTTTTGAAACCATGTTTGCTGTAAGCAATTAGAAATCATATAGTTTCGTAATCGTTTTTTTAACCATTCTGCATATAAACCATTAAGGTAAAAAATATTCTTTATCCAAAATTCTACTGTTAATTGGATGAACAGACTTCTTCCCGCTGATTTACCATAATTTTAGAATAAAAATTCAAACAGATAATATTTTATTTAATTTGTGTATTGAATAATATTTCATTTGTTTTCACTCGAAATCAAATTATCATATAAAAATATCATTCTATTTCAAACGCATAGAATTATACTGATGAAAAATAACAAAAAAAGACAAAATGTTTTAACATTCTTCCAAATAACTATTTTTATAACATTTTATTTATGATTATTCATTTATTTATTCATTTTTTTTTAAACTATGGAGAAAAATAACACATTATGTGCAGTTTTATAACTTTAGTTTGATTTGTTTGTTCTCTCTTCATTTTAATTTTTTTTAACGTTTATTATTTGCTTCACAACTCAAATAGTACATCATGAGTTTCAATTGTCACCATTCATTCAACCAATATAGTGCCGAGCAAGCATATTACGACAATTCAACAGTGAAAAAAAATTATGGTTAAAACTACCGGAATGTGGTAAAATTTACCATCTTTCTTGCTCTATGGGGACATCAAAAAGCTCTGTAATTTTTACCGAAGCACTTTAGTAATGATTTTAATAAAATTAACAATAAATATGGTTTTATAATGCGTGGTAAAATTTGGTAAATGCTTTAAAGCATGAAAATTTTATCATGATATCTTAGAGCATAGCGTAAAAAGAATTTATTCGATTAAATTTACTTTACAGTTTTATATTTTTTTAAATGCGTCGCAATAAGAACTATAATTTCGAAAACAGAATTTGCGGTAAATCGCTCCCATATGAACGGAATAATTTCAAAACAAATGATTAAAATATCTTATATATTGATTTTAATAACCAGAACTACGTTTTTTTTTACCAGAAATATCATATAGTACAGAAGTAATTTCACCATAAATTTTTCTCCACGTACATATGGTAGCTAGTGCATAAAGTCTCCGTCAGTGGGATTTAACAAATTGTCAACCGTTGACAGTGAGAAGATCAGAGAAACATCTTCAAAAATGATTATAATCTTTGTGGTCACTTTTTTAATAATGATTATTCTTCTTTTTTAATTGCTCATAATTTGTTAAGTATAAGAAAATATAAAATAGAAAGGTTTGCGTCGTTTCGCACATTTAATACAGATATATATATATTTGCATTAAATATAATATAAACACTATTAAAAAATATATAAAAAAAACTTACTGGATTGTGACGTTGGGATAGAGCCTGTTCCAATTATAATTGAATGTCTCATGATTGTAATTAGGCTATTAATAAAAATAATTTTCTGTGTACTAGGTTCAACAAAATAATTCTTGAAGAAT